AAAGCAGTGGGGCAATCAAAGTTTTCTTTTTGAATTAACTTGTCACAGCGGTGTTATTTTGCTGGGGTTTTTTGTCCTGTCTCCAAGTGGTCTCGTCATTTCCTGTTTTATTTTGATAAGTAACCCTCCTCTTGTTTCAGGTCACTTGCCCTTCCCGGTGTGTCATCTATACTTTCAAAGGAGAATAAACACTTGTGATTTTGAAAATCAACTTTATAAACGCTGGCAGTGCCCCCCCTAATGATTGTTCTGCTCAGCATGTGTTTGTGTGGATGGAGCCACTGGTGGAGCTGGCAGAGTTTAGAGCTGAAGTCACTGTGTCTTTATGAAGCAGCAGCATGTTGTCATTAATGTGAATGAGAGCTCTTTTTCTCTGGTTCTGTTTGACTGTTGTAACCTGCATCCTGTTGGCTTCAGCTCACATCTTTTACTCTTTATTCAGGTTGTGGGGCTGCAGTTTGTCAGAGACCAGCTGGTCTTCTGTGTTCTCAGCTCTGAAGTCCAACCCCTCCCATCTGACAGAACTGGATCTGAGCTGGAACCCCATCTCTGAGTGTGTGATGAAGGAGCTGAGCAGCTTTCTGCAGAGTCCACTCTGTGGACTGAAGACTCTGAGGTCAGACTCCAGGTTTTGGTGGTTAGTTCAGATCAGAGGATGAGCTGAAAGCTGGGTTGCTCTTCATGGTAAAGTCTTCAGCTCACAGATTTAGTTCTTTATTCAGATTGGAGCTCTGCTGGTTGTCAGAGACCAGCTGAATGTGATTGGACCCACAGTCACATCTATGTGCAACATCTGTCTTTACTGGCTTTACTCTGAATGTGATTAGACCCAGACTGTCCTTTGCTCTCCTCAGACTGTACGGGTGCAGCTTGTCTGGGACCAGCTGCTGGTCTCTGGTCTCAGCCCTGAAGTCAAACCCCTCCCACCTAGTGGAACTGGACCTGAATGGAAACTCCCTGGGAAAACCAGCTGAGGAGAGTCTGTGTGCTCTGGTGGACAGCCCTGAGTATGGACTGGAGACTGTGAGGTCAGCAGAGGGGGAGCTGGGCTGTCTTTTCCTGCCTCTGGCTGCAGGTTGAACACCCTCTGTGTTCTGCAGGCTGCAGGGAGCAGAAATCTTAATCATGCAGAGATAAAAAGGCCTCTCTGGTTATTTTGTGTGTGCATAAACAGCCTCGTGGCGACAGGATTTTTTTCTTCCAGAGTCCCCAGAGCTTAAAGCCTGAGCAGTTCCACTGTTCCAGATCATAGTTGTTTATCTTATTCAGCTCTTGAATTAATGCTGTGATGGGGGAAGAAAGAAGCTGTATGCAGACCAACCACAGGGTTTTTTAACCTAAAACTAAGTCCAAAACTCAAACGAACCTGAGAAAAAAAGGCAGATGCAGTACCGATCTAAGCCTCCAGGGGACACAATGACTTATCGGCCATCTATTCTTTACCAATAATTCTGATCATTGATCACTCTCACAGCTACAGGAAACTGGTTTGACCTTCTAATGTGTCACTGGGAAACTACATTGAAACACTAGACTATTTGTCTGTAAAATTGTTAATGAACATATAAAAACAGACCGCAGATTTAAGTTTGCATTAAGGTGTTTTGCCATTGATGATAGGAATTATCACTCAAATATGCAAAGAAATGAGGAGCGAAATGACCCACTCTGCCTGTAATTGCTCTCGGCGCCCCCTGGTGCTCATGCTCAGCTCTAATGGATGACTGAGATAGCTTTTTTATCACACAAAGAGACTTAAATGTTTTATTTTGTGTTGTTTCCTATCCGAATATTGAACATAATGTTTTTTTTATTCTTCTTCACTGGCTACTTAACTTTGATGTGTCTTTTAAGATAAACTGGTTATTCCTGAGGGAATGATGGGACAGTGACTGACTGACTCTCTCTCTGACTCTCTCTCTCTCTCTCTCTCTCTCTCTCTCTCTCTCTCTCTCTCTCTCTCTCTACTCTCTGTTTGCTTGTGTTTGCTCCAAAGGTTTAGTGGCTGGATGAAGAAATCCTCCAGAGACAAAAGCTGTGAGTGCCTGTCCACAGCCAGCGTTAACGGGGGGAGTCTGTGCCGCTCGGGGTCATTAGATGGCACGCTGTGGAGTCTTTATGGCAAAAAAGTCCAACCTGCTGGAAGCAGGATGGGTGGGGACTGGACTCTGATTGTGGAGGGCAGCGGAAAGGATCACAAACAGGATAAAGCTCTAATCGGGGCAGTTTGAAGAGGGAAAGAGCTGTCTTAGCTTCAGCTTTGATGTAACTGCTGAAGTTCAGGTCTGAGTCAAATCAAACTCCAGCATTCTTTACCTGGGATTTAGTCTTAAAACCTCTGGATTAACACAAATAATCAAAAGCTCAAACTCTTGTGTTTGCATGTTTGAACGGTGTTTGAGGAGAAAAGCCATTCGGGGTCAGACTGTCTGGTGTCACTCCTCTAATCCACCCAGAGTCAGATCAGAGTCTTTAGGCCTAAAACATGTCAGCCTGATATCACGTGTAAACGATCAGCCAATAGCTATTTGATTTAAGATTTTGATCAATGAGGTTATTGTCTGTGTAATTCTGAAGGTTTTACTTTTTTAAAGCTGAGTCAGACCAGACAGAGAAACCTACAGCTGTCAGTATATTTGTGGAAAGATGCTCATGCAGGATATTTTCTGTCCTAAAAACATCCTCTTTCATGTTTTCTCCTGAAAAAGGACAATAAAATCTTAATTTTCCTGTGTAACTTTGCAGTGAGGATGAAGGATCCAGCAGAAAAAGAGCCTTTGTGCTCCGACGACTCTCAATCCAAACCAGAGCCCAACTCAGAGAGCCCAAAGCCCGACTCCACAGAGTTTTAAAGGTGGAGCCTTTGTTTGTTCTCCATTTCTGATGAGCTTTTCTGTCATGGAGCTCCAGCTGCCACCGCTGCCTTGTGCCAATGTTTATGCAGAAACCAGCATTTGATTGTTCATTTCTCTGCTTTCCTTTAAGGTCCCAGACGGGAATCTTCATAGAGGGATTTCCCAGGACTCCAAGCAAAGGACAGACTGTGTGCTGTCCGGGTGCAGTTCATTAATGGAGTCTCTGATTCTGTGCTGAACCAGCTGCTGGATAAACTCCTTCAGCACGGTGCTATGATTAATGAGGAGATGCAGACAGCAAAGACGAAGCCCAGAGCAGAAAAGGCTTGAGATGTGATTGATACTGTGATGAGGAAGGGACATGAAAGCAGCAAAACTCTGATAGAGGCTCTCAGGGAGGTCGACCCCTGCCTTCCCAGAGAGCTGAAGCTGTGGTGAGGGGCCCGAACCCTGACAATGGAGGCTGGTGGGGGTCTACAGCCACTCGGGGACTTTTGCACAAAATCAAATGTGGCCACAAAAAGTTCATTAATCTTTGAAATGCTGCAGCTCCATCTCGTACTTGCAGAGCCCCAGGCTGAGGAAATGTGCTAAAAGACTTCCCATCAGCTGAGAAAGTTGCTCAGAAACTGCTGGAAAGTCCACTCTGAGGCTAAAACCTCAAAAACACGCTGCTCTCTTTGAATTGTGCATTTAAAGCTTCCAATCCTTAAAAAAACAACAACATGGCCAACACGAATAAGGTCCAATCAGAGACTGTAAAGGCAGAAATGCACAAAGGATCCCAGCCCAGATTATCCACTCAACCACTAACTTCTCTTCCACAGATTTCTCATAAAGCAGAAAAGTTTGGAGGTGGTTTCATTATTTTGAGTTTATTACTTGATGGCCTAATTCAAATGCATTTACTTTCTTTTTTTTATCCACTGAGATGTTATATTTTGAGATTTGGTGGTGCATGAAAACCAAACCGGGAGTGTGTAACTGTCAGCTGTTTGTTTTGTTACTTTGAATCAATAAACACTTACTTTCTGTATTTACCACCATTTCAAGTAACTCTGGCAAGTGATCTCTGCTGGTGACGAATTTTGTTTGGCTCTGGGATGGGGACTTGTGTAGGATTTCCCAGAACCTGAGTCTTTGCAAAAAGAGACGTATTTAAATTCATCCATCCATCCATCCATTGTCCACCGCTTATCCGGGGTCGGGTCGCGGGGGCAGCAGCCGGAGCAGGGAAACCCAGGCATCCCTCTCCCCGGCCACTTCAGCCAGCTCCTCCGGGGGGATCCCGAGGCGTTCCCAGGCCAGCCGGGACACATAGTCCCTCCAGCGAGTCCTGGGTCTTCCTCTGGGCCTTCTCCCGGTGGGACGAGCCCGGAACACCTCCCCAGGGAGGCGTCCAGGAGGCATCCTGATCAGATGCCCGAGCCACCTCAACTGGCTCCTCTCCACGTGGAGGAGCAGCGGCTCTACTCCGAGCCCCTCCCGGATGGCCGAGCTTCTCACCCTATTTCTAAAGGAGAGCCCAGCCACCCTGCGGAGGAAACTCATTTCGGCCGCTTGTATCCGCAATCTCGTTCTTTCGGTCACTACCCAAAGTTTGTGGCCATAGACAAGGGTGGGAACGTAGATCGACCGATAAATTGAGAGCTTCGCCTTTAGGCTCAGCTCTCTCTTCATCACGACAGACCGGTACAGCGCCCGCATTACTGCAGACGCCGCACCGATCCGCCTATCGATCTCACGCTCCCTACCCCCGTTCGCGAACAAGACCCCGAGGTACTTGAACTCTTCCACTTGGGGAAGGACGTCCGCTCCGACCCGGAGAAGGCACTCTACCCTTTTCCGGTGAGAGACCATGGCCTCGGACTTGGAGGCACTGATCCTCATCCCAGCCGCTTCGCACTCGGCTGCGAACCGCTCCAGCGAGAGCTGTAGGTCCTGACTTGATGGAGCCAACAGGACCACATCATCTGCAAAAAGCAGAGATGCGATCCTTAGGCCACCAAGACTGACACCTTCAACACCTCGGCTGCGCCTAGAAATCCTGTCCATAAAAGTTATGAACAGGACCGGAGACATAGGGCAACCTTGGCGGAGTCCAACTCCCACCGGAAACGAGTCCGACTTACTACCGGCAATGCGAACCAGACTCTGACTCCGGTCGTACAGGGACCGAACAGCCCGTAACAAAGGGCCAGGTACCCCATACTCCTGGAGCACCCCCCACAGGATACCCCGAGGGACACGGTCGAACGCCTTCTCCAAGTCCACAAAACACATGTGGACTGGTTGAGCGAACTCCCATGCACCCTCTAGGACCCCGCTGAGGGTATAGAGCTGGTCCAGCGTTCCACGGCCAGGACGAAAACCACCCTGCTCCTCCTCGATCCGAGGCTCGACTATCCGGCGGACCCTCCTCTCCAGAACTGCTGAATAGACCTTCCCAGGGAGGCTTAAGAGTGTGATCCCCCTATAGTTGGAACACACCCTTTGGTCCCCCTTTTTAAATAGGGGGACCACCACCCCAGTCTGCCAACGCAGCCCCACAACATCCAAAGCCTTTAGGAACTCCGGCCGAATCTCATCCACCCCCGGGGCCTTGCCACCGCAGAGCTTTTTGACTGCCTCGGTGACTTCAGCCCCGGAGATTAGAGATTCCAGCTCTGGATCCCCAGGCTCTGCCCCTCCAACGGAGGACGCGCCAGTGGGATTGAGGAGGTCCTCGAAGTACTCTGCCCACCGACCCACAACGTCACGAGTTGAGGTCAACAGCACACCACCCCCACTGTAAACAGTGTTGGTGGGGCACTGCTTCCCCCCCCTGAGACGCCGGATGGTGGACCAGAATCGCCTCAAGGCCGTACAGAAGTCTTTTTCCATGGCCTCCCCAAACTCCTCCAACGCCCGGGTTTTTGCCTCGGCGACCACCCGAGCCGCATGTCGCTTG